TCACCATCATGGAGCGCACCACCATGGAGCTCAGCACCGTGGGAGCCCAGCACCCTGGAGCCCAAGAACCATGGAGCCTGGCACCATGGAGCCCAAGAACTGTGGAGCCCAGCACCGTGGAGCCCAGCACCATGGATCCTGTCCCTGTGGAGCTCGGCACCATGGAGCCCATCCCTGTGGAGCCTGGCACCATGAAGCTCAGCACCATGAAGGTCAGCACCATGAAGCTCAGCACCATGAAGCCCATCCCCATGGCACCCAGCACCATGAAGCCCAGCACCATAAAGCCCAGCAATGTAGAACCAAGCACAGTGGAGCCCAGCACCGTGGAGCCCAGCCTCCTCTCCCCACCTGCCCACCGGAGCAGCGGGGCTCCCTGGCATGGTGTGCTGCTGGACAGTCCCCATTGCAAACCTGCCCTGGTGCAGCCGGGGCTGGAGGTGCAAACAAATCCCCCCTGACTTCGCTTTTCTAGGGCTGACAACCACAACCAGCACCTCCCCTTCCCCAAGCTGCCTTGCCCTCTATTTCCATATGGATTTTACTACGCATCTGAGATGGAAGTTTCGAAAAGCAAATTTCCTATGAGAGCACAGAAAACCTTGTCGGGCTCGGTGCTGGGACCCAAAATAGGATGTGATTACCACCTCAGCCCCGGAGCGACCTCCATCCAAGCATCTCCAGCAAGTTTCCCCACCTCCCCTTGTTCAAATTGACTCCAAAGAATCACAAAGTTTGGCTGACAAAAACCTAACTCAAAATAGTTTGTCTTCAAGTACAATTTAGAAATGAGAAATGAGGCTGGAAGGAAATGACAGGAAGGGTGTTAGAGGAGAAAACGGCAGGGTTTGGAGAGAAAACCAAAGCCAGTGCACAGAATGGGTATCCAGTTGAAAATTCCCTGTAAAAAGTAAAATGTCTGTTTCCTGCGGCTTTCCCACAGGGCTGGAAGCCTCAGCCCATGGAAATGCATTTCTGAACTTCAGGTCTTCTCACTCTCACTCTACCCAGCCAACCATTTCTAGACACCTCTGGAGGAAGCCGCCGCTTTCCCATCCAACTGTATCTTCTCTCAAGCATCTGAATTTCCCTTGACACGTCTGCTCTCTGCCTGCCACGCTGCACCTCAGCAAACACCAGCGCGTTGGGTTTTTTGTTGCATTTTGGGGATGCGGCAGCATTTCTGCCCTTGTGGCTTTGCCCAGAGGAACACCAATGGGCTGATGAACCCCTGCTGCCACTCGGATGCCGGGTATCGCCCTGACCGCAGGCATCCCGCCTGCCTGCCTGCCCGCTGGTGGGTACCAACCTGGCCACGGTGCAATGGGAGCTGGCCAGATACTCATGAAATCTTATTGTGAGCGTTCGTTAAGACTGCACATGCTCCCAAGGAGATGTTCACCCAGAGGACACGAGGATTTCGATCACCTGTAGCAGAAGGTGACCACCAGAGACCCCTCATGCCCACCCTGCTGAGGAGTGCATGCCTAATAGATATGCAAATATGTTAATGAGGTCCAAGAAATGGTTTGAATACGCATGTAATTCTAGGAAATGTAACGAATATGCAGAACAACCAGACTATACAAGTGAAAACTGCTCTGACCCCAGTGGCACTTGCTTTGAGAAATTATATTTCCGAGTGCCCCAATGTTGTGAGTAAAGAAATCCTGCTTTCTAAAACTCCAAAATGAGTCTTAGCAAGTTTATTTCATTGGTTTTTGGTATCAGAGCAAGCTGGCTGCCCGGGGCTGCCTGGGCTGTGAGATTTCCAGGGATGCTGCAGGATTTCCAGGGACGCTGTGGAAGCCTGTTCCTGGCTGGGGAAGTGTGTGGGGTGAGCGGGACCACAGCCGCCCACGCCGGCCCACGCAGAGGAGTGCAGGGAGCGATTCCTCCCCGCGTGGCCCTCCCCAGCTTGTGTGCCAGCGAAGCTACAATGGGCTCTTTGAGCAGGGGCAGCTGACAGAGCGCTGGCAGCGATGCTGGAAGTAGAAATTTGCAGCTGGGGGGAAAAAAAAGCAAATTCATTTCCAGGAGCTGTAGGGGAACCGAGTGCCAATTTCCAAAACAAAACTGCCATTTCTCCGCAAGGCTGACAGTTGCCTGGGAGCCAGAGGGAGGACAGGCTGCTGCTTTCAACTTCAAACACTGCCGGATTAACACTTTCCTGCCGGCATGGCACAGCCGGTGCCAACACGCGGGAAACCTCACAAGGAGCAGGGGGGGCACCTTGAACCCATCTCCGGCAGCATCGAACACCATGGACACGGGCTTTCTCCACCCCAGGATGCTGGTGCATGGCTGGGGAATGGGGTGAGATGGCTGTGCCCCTGCTCCTGCTCCTGCAGGTCCCCGCTTCGGGCTTTGGGAAGGGCTGAACCTCCCCACAAGCTCCCTGGGCTCTGCCCGCTCTCTGCCCATCTCCCGCAACCCCGTGCCTGCCCTCTGCCCAT